ACGTCTCCCCTACAACTGCGTATCGCATTCCAATGTGCCGCCTCCCCTAGTAACCAAGCGAGAGCTGTCCCCAGATGTTACCGTATCTTAGCAACGGAACTAGTCACCGGCTACTTCTCGGGTTTTCCCACCATGACTCATAGCGGCTGCTGCGGGGTATATAAGCTCTGTCTCTCCATTGAGATTGATTCTGACCATTCTTCTTGAACAAGCAACACCTCCTCCTCTGCCGCTGCCTGGCGACCCTCGCCTCTCCTCCGCCTGCCTGGCGGTCCTCGCTCCCGCCAGCGAGCATGTCCTTCTCTGAGCTTCCTCACCAACCAACTCTCATTCTGCCCATTTTCCTGAACAAGCAACATCTCCTCCAGCAAGCTCCACGCTGTTAACATTTCATTCAACCAGGAGGCCAGCAACAGGCAACACCTTCTCTAACGAAGCTCCTGCACATCTACCTCCTTCAACACGATACTCCCGAACGTCTTCTACTGAGCTGCTCCCCACCACACGGCATCTCCAGCACCAGACTGTCTATCATATAACTTATATATATTATATAAGAAAACCACATTATAGTTTCCTTCCATCCTGAGTGCTAGACAACATTAATATATCGATACCCCTACAGTCCCCTTTGTTTAGCCCTGCCTTCCACTTATACACCTCTATCAGGTCGCCCCTTGCTCTACGTCTCTCAAGGGAGTGCAAATTAAGATGCTTTAACCTGTCTCTATACTCAAGGTTCCTAATGCCCGGGATTAGTCTTGTCATTCTCCTCTGAATTCTTTCCAAGGATTCTATATCCATTCTGTAATACGGTGACCAGAACTGAACTGCGTAATCCAGGTGTGGTCTCACAAGAGCAAGATACAGTTTTAGGATGACCTCGCTAGTCTTGTAACTAACACTCCTTTGTATGAACCCAAGTACTTTATTAGCCTTGTTACGAGCAAAAACACATTGTTTACTTGGCTTAAGGTTCCTACTTATCATTACTCCTAAATCTCTCTCGCAGTCGGATTTCTCTATGGCATCGTTGTTCATCTGGTATCTGGTTTCCCTGTTTACATCTCCTATACTGAGTACTGAGTACTTTACATTTGTCGACGTTGAATTTCCAAGCTGCATTGTACATCCAATACAACATGTATACAGAGAGCACATTGTGAGTTTCCTTTCTCCATCCCATCCTGAGTGTAAACCAACATCTCGTACCCCACAGGGTATCGTTTAAGCCCCTGGTTTCGGACCCCCCGTGGTTGTTGCTGTTTGGGAGAGGGGTTGGGGGGAGTAGTGCAGACTCTGTACAGATCTACTCAGCCTTACGCCCACCAGTCTACCAAGCAATGGACTTCTAATTGCCGGCTTAATAATAATAATATTGATCCTTATCATTACTGTGAAAATTGCTTCTAATCTGTGTCCTGGTAGCAGGGCCTTAGCGTCAAGTTCCCTTTAAAAACCCCGTTTCGCTGCCTGGGTATAGGCCGTTATGGCTAGTGTCATCCACCGGGCAAGCACAATTTATTTCATCTGACATCTACTGAAGTCTAAGTAAAGTGAGATATGGAGGTGATCGTGCCCTTATGGCAATCCAATGTTATTTAAAAAGGAAGAAGAAAAATATATAAATAAATAACCTAGCTGCCTTTTATTGGTCTCCTCAGCACTGTGCGTCCAGTGGTGACGAACTGCCAATGTCTTCGGGAGACGTAGGAAGATTACCCTCGAAGTATGCGCTTGAGTAGACTCTGCATACGGGCGTTGTGAAGTGAGATGGTTTGTCGAAGGGTTGTAGAAATGGTTGACTGTTGTTCGAGATCTTGCAGGGTGTGCATAGTTGTTTCAATGGACAGCTATTGACCTCAGGTGCATGCACTAAACCATGGAACTGTACTTAACAGTTACGACGTATTCCACTTCAAGTATTTTGCCCAGTGGGGCAACTAAAGTTTCAGGTTTGATGATGTCTGTGATTTTATTAATTCAGTTATCATCAGTATGGGATGGAATTAGATATATACAGTGATTCAATCAGATTAATTATCAGCGTCACTTTGCGAAAGGAGCACTAATGAACGCAGCCATCAGCTGAAGTTGAGGAGTAAATAAACAAAGCCGTGGACCCATGACAGCCTTTCGTATTCAATGTTAGGCAATAGATACAATGGGCTCATTTGTGACATTAAATCTACAATCCCTTACAAGTTTGCTAGAAGCGTGTCACAATTGTGCTACAGGTAAGATATTTGACAGTAATTCTTATGGCGGTGACAATTGAATGATATGATCTCGTGTAATGAAAACTCCTATTTCGTTAACTCCAGGGGCGGAACCCCCCCCCCCCTTTTCTTCAGAAAATTGTCATACTTATGCTTTAATGCTGTTTTGTACACAGGGATTTTTGTATAGTAAAAATAAGATATTTTATAGTAGTTCACACTACATTCCTACCCCTAATCTCTTATCATATTCGAAAAAGACGTCTAATTTTAAGATTATTTTCTTTTATTACATTACCGTCGGAAACGTATTATAACGGTGATAGCGCATGTCAAATCTTTCTCTATTTAATTCCATTATTCTTCAGCCATTATCGCCTACCCGACCTCCCACTCGGCGTGTTTCCTTAAAAAATCGTCATGCACATGCATTCCCATACACATCACGCAGCCAATCAAAAGCATTTTCATTTTGCCACCAATTAAAATGAATTGTGTTTCAATCTTTAGAATTCACGGTATTTTTTGCCCAATCAGATTCAATTGTGATTTTGGGTCTCATGCTTCAAAATTCAAATTAATTTCCGACCATGGAAGTCTGCGATGGGTGTCACTTCAATTATTTGGAGTTAAGTGTGCGTTTTGGGAAAAAAACGAACAAGCTATAGCATTTTTTAGATCTCACAGTGTTCTCTGGACCTCAGTAAAGATTCTAATTCGGAATAAGGTAAGAAATAACAGTGACTCCTTCATATGGTGAGAGTCTGGTTACATAAAAAAGCTGTGAGAGTTAGGTCAGGTCAGGTCAGATTATGTTAAGTCAGGTCAGGTTAAGTCAGGTCAGGTTAGGTTAGGTTAGGTTAGGTTAGGTCTGGTTAGGATAGGGTAGGTTAGGTTAGGTCATCAAAAAAAAAAGTTAGCTTTATATGTTTTTCTATTTATTTTTTTTTTTTTTTATTCACTTAGCTTTGTTTTTTGTCGGAAAACGCCCCACCCAAAACCCCGGTTCCCAACAGGATCTCCTATCTTGTTGGGAGTAGAAGGGGACGATAAAAAAAAAACTGTCAATTTCCGACGGAAATGAAGGTCAGAACCAATCAAAACACATAAAAATACATTTTAAAAAACATAGTTTTGACTTTCTAACAGAGTTGTGTGAACTACTACAAACTTACCCAAAATAATTACTATTGACCTCAAAATATCTCCTAATATCAAGTGCAGATGGCTTGAAAATAGTTAATTTACAGTTTCATCCACAACTAATGTTCGACCACAAATTTTTTTTTCCCATGGTATTTGGTGTGATTCATTCAAATCTTACATTCATTTCTGTCAAAAATGTGTACAGTATTTGTATTATCGTATTCATTACGCTGCTTTGGTTTGTGATACTCCATTTAATGGAAATCACGAACCATTATTTGTAATGTTAATTTTTGTATTTTCAGGTAATGCAGCTCAAGTGAGCATAGGTGATACATCATCAGTGAGGTTGGGGAATGAAGCTGTACGTCCATTTACCTTCCTCTGCTGTGAGACTATCGTCAGTTCAGAGGGCGCTATATTTTGGCACTCGGAAGAGATAACACCTGATGCCATTGCTTGCAGTAATCAGACAAACCAACAGCCATTAAGAGCGAACGAGGGTAATTTGGTAGGTGGAAGAGTAGTGAATGAGTTTGAAGATGTAATTGTCAAATGTGAGGATGAGAGTACTAGGAAAATGGACAGTGAAGATGGTAATCTTGATAGTATTTTGGCAGAAGAGGATCCTCTTTTAGTGGATGATGTATCAACTGTTCAAACAAGCATAACTGAATGTTGTACTGTATCAAAAGATAACATAAAACAGGATGAAGAAATAAGTCCAGAAAATAAAATATTAAGGAAAAATTTAGTAGGAATATTGACTCGACAAGATTCTTTAGGTTCCTTGGTTACTTCTTGCAACAGTAAAGTTACTACTAATGAATCAGCCAGAAGAACAAAATACCCAGAAACTTTCACCTGTGAATTTTGTGGGAAAATTTTCAAAGGAAAAGAAAGAGCATACCAATTCTACTACCATAGAAATCGTGAACATACACATGAGATGATCTACAAGTGTGACATTTGCTCAAAAGAATTTTGGGGAGAGAGAGAGTTTCTTGCACATATGACTGGACATAGAGATCAAGGTCACATTTGTCATGTTTGTGGACAAAAATTTAATGCCAAAAAGAATCTTAAAACTCACCTCTTAGTACATTTGTCAATACGGGAACATGTGTGCCGTTACTGTGATAAAACCTTTCGAAGAAAAGATCACCTGACAGTTCATGAGAGAATTCATACTGGAGTAAGACCATACCAGTGCAAGTGGTGTGACTCAGCATATCCACAGAAGCATCAGCTCAATCTACATATTCGTAAGTGTCCCATTTTGAAACGTCAAGAAGCTAAAACCTATACCTATTAAGAAATGATTGCAGTATATGAAGTTGTTTCATGTAAATTTAATACTGTAATTTATAAATTTGTATTGAAAAACCTGAGTTATATAGTACAGTATGAATAGAATAAATCTATAATACATATAAATAATTTCTTTTCCTGTTTCTGCATATTGGAAGATATCTGAAATAAAACTAAAAGTAGTTCTTGCTTCTCAAATCTATCAACACTAATGATGTGTAACTCATCCACAAAGTTAACAACTTTTCTCATATGTTTTTAACTTCTTGCTCATCTGATTCTCCCTCCTTCCTCTCCAGATTCTTGATATTTTTTTTTTTTGCATTTGTCGGTCTCCAATGTGTCTTTCAATTCCTCCTAAATGTCTTTGTTGCAGTCATAACAATTAACAATAATGCTATACAGTACTGCATTGTCAGTGTGGGCCACCAGTGTCCAATACAGTATATCTCTCATGTGTTTGAACCCATGTTCATTATTTTCTAAAGTTATATAGGTATTTACTCCCTTTTTTTCCAAATGATCTAGTTATGATTATCATGCCATTATTGATAGAAAATTTAGGTCGGAACAATTGGAAAAGCATTTCCACTATCCGCATGATCTCAAAGGATATACAGTGAAAGGTTTAAGGCCCGTTTCTACTTGAGAGCGGACTCTCAATAGTTCTCTCATCTGTGTATCCACATGAGAGCAAACTTCTGCGAGTTTCAGCTGTCAGAGAGAACTTTCAGTGGTGTGTCCACCTGACTAGAGCTACACTCTAGTGACTCAGTCAGTTGGTAGCAATGGGTGGTAGAGGACGTGACAGAAAGTTTGCTGCAGCAAAAACAGAAAAGAAGGTGTTGGATAAAGCACTGGGTGGAACAACGAGGTAAACTGGGAGCTAACAACAGGCTTGTAAAAGAATTACAGATAGAAGATGCTCAACAGTTCCGTAATTTCACTCGTATGTCAGCAGTTCAAGTGGAAAAGTTGGTGAATTTGGTTGGACCATTAATTTTCAAGAGAGACACGGATGAGGGAAGCCATTTCAGTGAGTTATGGCGATGCTTCGGTTTTGGGCATCGGGTAGGTAAACAACAAAAATACACCCAAACGTCCTGTCCAATGCCAATAATTAGTACTGTATTGATGTTCACGTGCTTAAATTCAAATACCCTACACCTGTTGCGTCAATTTTCTTATGTCGAATATGACTTGGGATTTCTTCTCTCTGTTGCGATAATCTTCCCTCTTGTGATCCCACAAATTAGGATTCTCTTCATACAAGGATATCAACTGAAAAGTCTTCTCCTGTGTCCAGAGCGCCATGCTTCACCTCTCGAGAGCACTGTCAGACTGCGAACCTGGTTCGTATAGCTGAGAGTTGACGTGACAGTTGCGGGCTACCATGTGTCCACACGATAGCAAACTAGCAGAGAGTAGCTGTCCGACAGTAAACTCAAACTATCTGACAGTTACTCTCAGAGCCATGTCCAGTTGATAGTAGCACTGTCGACAGCAATTTACTCTCAAGTGGACACAGCCTGAAGCCTAAATTCCATAAATCAATCGAAGAAGGATATGGTGGTAGTCTGGGTTTGAAAAAACATTGGTGTGATGAATATTTATTTAAAAACTTCCAAGTGTAAAATGGTCTCAAAGACATCTACAATTTCTAACTGCTTTTCCAGGATTCTTTTATTTCCTAGGTAGACCACTACTTCTCTCCCTTCTTATCTGGCAACTGCATGTATTCATGTAAAATTCTGATGGATAACAATTGTGGGGTGTTGCATCTGATTTTATGAACTTATACTGTACTAGGTATAATTTTGGGGGGGGGGAGGGAGGGGGGGGCAGGCAGGCAAATTCTGTCATTTTCCATGACATCAGTCATATTGTCTTTATCAATGCAGTTAAACAAGATGGCCATAGTCTGATGTTATGCACAAGCTTAACAAATGACTTGTAGAAACAATGTAATTAACCACTTGATGGTACATTCTGGCAGTTTGAATATACAGTACATAAAATTGTGTACAGTATTTTTAGATATGTGGAGGTGCAGATCGTTTCCCACTAATTTTTTAATACAGTAATATAGATTGTGAAGAGTCAGTGGGGCTTCTACAAACCCATACCTAAATAATTAATCGGTCACACACAAATGTAAACTAAGCTAGCCTAACCCAGTCTTTATCACTGACTGTAACTGCCTATCCTTTGAAATGTTGGATATTCCAGTCATGCTTTATACAAACATAGGTGTAGTCATCAGTGTCTAATTTTTTGTAGACTGATTTAGATCAAAGACTTTTCATTCATAAGCAGGTGTAGCATCATATGATTTTCACCCAAATTCCTAAAAGGGCTAATGAAAAATTATCGTTAATTTTCTATTTACTTTATACTATGAAAAACATGACATAGCTGACAATGAGCTTAGCAGATAAGTAATAAACTGTAATACAAAGAAAGAAGCACGGTACGGTAAAGCTCTTTTAAACTCGAGAGAAAATTAAATAAACCAATGTGTTCTCCCTGATGGGGGGGGGGAGATGATTCATACTATTTACAGCAGTAGGGTACCTGTCTTGCTCATACACAAGCAAAGAGAACAAATAATAAACAATCTATTGAGCACTTTTTGCAGTTGTAAAGTATGAAGATGGATGTTATAAATTACAATCTGTGGAAAATCTACAAATGACATAAGATGCTCATCTACTAAGGACCTTTCTCTGAAGGCATATGCTTTCTTCTGTAAGGCAATGCATCACTCAAATTCGTATAATAATGCAAATTTACAAATGGAATATTTTTGGATATAAATATCTGTTTTCTTACACACACACACAATGGATGTTGGCTGCTGTATGAAATAAACAATAACACACAGGCAGAAATGAGGAAGGAACATGAATAAAACGAAGATGGTAGTACAGTAATAAATAAACCTCACTCATATGTATATAACACCATGCTAAGTCAATTTGAAAACAAATTACTTAGCCCATTCTTTTGTACACGCTGAAACCTAGAAACTCGGGAAAAAAAATTATTTTTAATTTCAAATACACAGCACAGTTTTATATCAGGGGTTCTTAACCTGGGGGTGTGTAAGCTGGGAGAAGTTGTCAACACATCTCTGACTTGGAGATGTGTTGACCACTTTCCCTGACAGCTTTCACCCACCCTCCACTGAAAATTGGAAATCACCCCCAAGCTAAGAACTGCTGGTTTATGTAATCAATATAATGGGTAGAGGAGGTTCTTCTACAGCATCAGTAACAAACTCCTGTATTATAAATAAACAATTAGGAATACATACAGTCAACCCAAAAATTGCTTTATTCACTCGGGTTACTCCTGAATATCATACCAGCGTTAAACATTGGGTACAGTTCCATTTTCCCTTGTTTCTACAAATTCATACTACAATGACAACTGTACTTAAATAATCCTTCTGTAATTGATAGTCTGATTTGTGTAATTTTCAGTATATGTAATTTTAGTACAGTATATGTAATTTTAGAGGCCAAGAATATTCAAATAATTTCATTAGCTCTTACTGTTCATGCAAAGTTAACAGAAATTTAAAATTAATGAAATAATCATCTTCCAGACCATATAAATGATTTCTGTATGTAATTTCTTAATTACCATAATAATGCATATTCTACCTCTATATTATCATAAGTCATCATGAAATCCAGTCTTAGAATTTTATTTAATTCAGGCTCTAAGAAACCTTTTCACTACAAATAGAACTTTAAACCTGACTATTAAATTACAGCAGAAAGTACATTATAATATTTTTGTTTAAACATACATGATCAAGGATTCTCCATAATAGTGTTAAGTGAGAATATTTAAGATAATATGTAGTGAAGTGGGGGATAAGAGTGGTGGGATTAAAGATAGGCATGGTTGTGTGATTTAGATATTTATCATAAAATGACAACTGAAAGTTTAAAAACACAGACTTGACAGAAATAGGCTGTGGAATGTATACAAGATGTACATAGGGAATGGGGAAAAAGTTTTTTGGTGTGAAGAAGAGTTTCTAAAGAGAATAAATAAGGTGTTTGTTTCATGAGCATGTGGTGTTTCAAGTCTTTCTAACAACTGATGAGAATGGTAAGTATTATTATTACAGCAGAGTAGGTGTTTCAACAACAGAGGAGTAATGTTTTCATATTCATTAAAAATAATTTTAAAGTTAAATGGTCATACAGGCAAAGAAGCAAGGCTGATATGAGTTGGTAAGTTTATAGAAAATACTGTGTTACAGGACACACAGTGGAACTGTAGAAAGGAATATCTGTAGCTGAATAACCTAATATGATCTGTCAGACATTTAAATAGGAACTTAAGTGCAAACATATAACTTAACCCCTACCCTTAGTCTTCCAAATGCACATATACTGTATACAAAAGAGGAAGTATAACTCAAATGCCTTATGTTTCTGACAGGTAGGGAAACAAAAGTTGTTCATTTTGTCAGACAGTCTGATGGTTAGAAGTTGGGATGATTTGTGAATTCCATATATACAGTACAGTGCAATGAGAGCTTTATGAATATTCCAAAGAGAATGGACCTCGAGTACACACTAAAAGTTAGGTAAAATACTTATGGTTTGAGGGATGTTTTGATGTACAGGTATGAGAATAGGAATTTAGAGGTATGGCAAAGCCTGTTAAAATGAGTAAAACCAACTCAAATGTGTCAGGCTTGTTCATCAAGTCTCAGACATCCTATTCTAATGACCTGAATTGAATTAAACCATGTCATAAGACAATAAATTGGAAGGTAAATTAACTGAAAAGACTTTATAATTTATTATGTTCATGCAGAGTAAGGATGGAGGAGTGTGAAGATGTTCCAGAGGGATTTGGACTAGATATGGGACTAACTGATTCACTAAAAGATAGATTTAAAAAAGCTACAACTCCACATTAAGTACTAATGTAAACATTATTTGCAACAGTACATGAATACAGTATACCTGTACTGTAATGTGTGTGTGCAATGCATTGTAGGGATAATCATGCAGTTAAACATAAAAACAATGATTTTTTTGCAAAATAGGGATTTATTTTTACTATTGTTAGAATTCCACAGAAGTAAGTCTTCATACGAGTAATTATGGCCCCCTGCCAGACAATGAGACACGGCAAATTGTATGTTTATGAATCGTCAACTCTTATCACAAATGCAAAAACTTAAATTGACCTAATTGCATTAAGTCTTTGTGTATGTGTTTATTATTCAAAGTAAACATAGCATAAATTATTATATAAGAACACTGGTTAAAATTTTAAAACATAAAAAAAATTTGATCCTGTCTGGACCCTTAAAAAAGTTCCATGACTCAAAGCAAAAAACATACTGGAGGCAGTTACTTCGAGAACTCTAAGAACAGAGAAGAGACATTACAAACAAGATATCAACAGGTGTGAAAGTGTTTACTTCTAATTTTTTTACTTTTATCCTCTTCGCCACTGATCGGCTTGTTAGCCGCTTGGACGATCGGTCACGTCTCTTTTCATTTATATTCTTCACCAAAAGATCGGCTCGCTAGCCGCCCGGGCGATCGGTCACGTCTCTGTCACGCACTGTTGGCAAATACTGGGCATGCACCGGCTCCTGAATGTACCTGAACCCGCTCCAGTGTTGGTCAAGTCTTCTCTTGAAAGAGCTCACACTTGGTGCCGTCACAACACTGGTAGATTGTTCCAAGAGTTTACAACCCTCACTCCGAAAAAGTTTGAATGAATGTAATTACTGTACATGCTGAGACTAATTTCACAAGATGCGAGATGAAATTAAAAACCTTGAAGAGAAATAAATTAATTGAATGATTGCAAAAATGCTTCAAGGAATAAATGTATGCAAATTCATATTAAGGTTACTGTATAAGTTTTAGAGTATGGTAAGTGACATACAAAGTTTTCAAGTGTACATACAAGTATACTCATTCCTCTGCTGTATTCATGTTTCCCAATTTAATGTTGAGGCAGTTCTGTACTACTGTTTCTTCACCATAAAAAATTTTCAGTTACCTTTAATGCATAATCAAAAATATTAAAATTTAAGTGAATCTTAAAAAAAAAAAAAAAAAAAAAATCAATGTACTAATCACAGCCTTAGTACTGCTGTAACTAATTCAGCTACATGTCAAGATTTTGTACATTAGTTTATCTGATTCATCAGTAAAGTACTCCCCCACCATGTTCATTGGCTTTTAAACCTTTTGTAAAACTGTACACTAACTTGAGAAAAGTTTAGAAAAGTAAAATTTTCATATATATTATTTTTTCAACTGACTGTGATCATCAGCAATGGAAAAAACTTGATTCTCTCAAAAGTATACAACCTACATGCCTTCCCGTATTACCTGGTAATTTGTAATGTTAAAAAGACATACAGATTAGCTTTCCTCATATTGTAGCTGTAGTAGAGCAGTTAAAACAAAATTATTTATTTCTTATAGTTATACAAATGATAAACTTCCCTTAAAAGATGATTGGATCAAGTTTCAATACCCGGTAGATGTCAATTGATGTACCATTTTTATTTTGTAAGCTTTATTACTTTTACAGCACTGTACTTTCCATTTCATGGCTTTCTCATCAGTCCCATCCCAGGGTGTTGGCAACTTGGTGTGTGTGTGTGTGTATGTATATACAGTATATATAAATAAGATTGGGTAATTCAATTTCTTCAGCTGTTTATTATCCTTACGCTCTTCTCCAATATTAGGGGATTGAACATTAGCTTCACTGGATTTCTGAATGAAAATACTTACAAACAACATATACATGATACAGTATCTGGATCTGAAGTAATTCTTCATTGGTCCAAATTAACTGTAAACATAAAATTTACTTTTTCAGTTAACCAAAACATTTTCACTTTTACAAAAGCCTGTCACATAAGTCACTGGTATTCCAAACACTAGTAACTCAACATTGTGAATAAACCACAGCTATGTTAACAAAGTGACCCACTCCTTGCGACTAACAAAGCTACAGTAGTGACTTGGACAAAGCTACATTGAGTTTGTCACTTTGCCAATTATACCAAGACCTGGTAATTTTTTAAAGTTATATTGAGAATTAGTCACTTAGCCAGTTATACCTAACCCTAATTACAATGCCAGTTATATCAAGAACTTATTATTCTGAGCCATTTATGTATTGTAAGTGCTATTCCCCAAATTCAAGGCAAGAGGGCAAAAGGTATTTCCTGAGCAAAGCATAATTTATTTTTACTTCACAAAAATTTATTCCTAAATATAATACCATGTAGGATATACTGATTTTTTTTTAAGTAAAGTAGTTGCCCTCTGTTATAAAAACCCAATGAAGTTCAATAATTTTAACAAGAATAAAAACTACTGATATACCTTCAGTCCCAATTAGTGTGTGTGTAAGTAATTGTATTCCTGTATTTAAAAATTGACATCGTGGATAAATGAAAAAGAAAAGAAAAGAAAAAAAAGACTTATTTACTGGTGTTGACATATGATTATGATCATCTAGCTAGATTGCTCAGGGATTTTAAATTCCCCAATAAGGAGCAATTAAAAGTCCTCAGAAAACATTAATTACTATTAGTTGGTCATAACAGCCAATCACTAACTGTCTCTACTATCGATCTAAGTGAGGCTTCATTTTCCCAACAGTGACATTCAGTGGTGATTATAAAGGAATGAACTATGATTTATATTCAGGCAAAGCTTCATTACAGTTTATCACATTAATTATTAACATTACCAGAAGACTACTGGTCATGACACACTATCATTTACAGTACACAATGTAAAGTTAACAGAGCTACATATTAAAACACGAGGCAAGATCCACTGGTAAGGCAAGTATCCCACGAGTTGTGCAGTCGGGAAATACCTTACAGGGAATTCTGATAGAGGCAATATGGACATTGGGGAAAGTTTGAGGAAGATTTATCACAAGCTGATGTTCTTAAGAAAATTCATTTTAATTATGCATTAACATCTTTTATTACAAACTGTTTATCATATTAACAGCAAAGAACTTTTTCCATTGTTTTTGGATGTTTTTAGATGCACTTTGCATCATTTACATATGACAACCCAAGATCTTGGTGTGATATTTCACACTGCATTGTCAATAAATAATGGATACGAAAAATTTCAGTCATTGATGCAATGGCTGAGCTGGAGTGCATATGACCTACTGAAGTTTCGTGGAGATATAACTGACAACTGATGTGACCTTATCAAGATATCAAAATACAGTAGCATTGGTTAAGTGGTATTTGCGATGCAATGCTATCAGAAAAGCTCCAGGCATGATTCAAAGGACAGTCTAGTACATAATGATGGTAGTACACTGTGATAAATATATAGAATATTGTTTACATGGGATTCTGAAATTATGATAAACATTCAGTCTTTCTGCAAGACTTAAAATCATTGACAAGGCATATTCACATGGCCATGGAATAAATAAGTATTCAGTGGGAAACACATGCATATAAAGACATGTCACCTGTACAATAAAAAATTTCCTTAGGAAGGGTAAAACCATGAAAAACATTAAATCAATGATAAGGTATTTTTCCCTTCCCTCATCGTCTCCAACAATATTATTGACACATTTCTCATTGTTTTTAACGTACACACCATACTTTTTTCACTCTACATTTAATTAGAAAAAAGTAACATTATAACATATAAGATATTTAGAAAATACATAACTACTAAAATTAATTTTAACATTTTCAATAATCTCAAGTTACAATCGAACACTTATAGCTGGGGCAACCAACAGGTATGGCACCGTATATAGAACACCTACTCAAAAAAATAAAACAAAGAAAATTTGTATGTTCTCAATATCTAATAATTTAGTATCCATAACATAGTATGTACCAAACACGTCTCCAGCTGACTAAAAAAAAAAAAAAAAAAAGGGAAAAAAAAACTAGGCAGGCAGTTTGTCGGCCTTTATGATCTATCACACCATTGGTAACCTAATGGCGTTTCCATAAAAGAAGACTGCTCTACATCACACCTTACTTTCAAGAATTGATTTATCTAACTCATAGTTTTATCACTGCATCTGCCAGTGTTTCAAGACTTCAAATGTATGAATATTAAAGTATGTTTGTTACTATCATTTCACTTATATTTTCTTATATAAAGAATTAAAAAAATGTGGAAATATCCAAACTATATAACATATGCATCATGATGTAAATCAACTTAATTTCTTAGTTTCCTGAATTTACAAGACTTAATGTCTTAAATTTTCCTTACCCTGTATATTGTATACAAGTTTGGCAGAATAAGATGAGCCATAACAGGTGCCCTGATTTCGAAATATTCCTGCATGTGTTAGACAATATAGTTTCACTGGGATTGTCTTCAACTGATAGCTTCCTGACAAAACACAACCCTAATCAAAAACACAATTTTAGTATGCTGAATATACTGTAAATGAGACTAGTTCAACCAAACACCATGAAATACATTCAGCAATACAAACCAAATTATGGCTCCACTGACCTGCTTATGTTTACCATACTTTCCCCACCTTGAAAATATTCAAGACAGGTAAACTATTTTTCACTACACAGAGTAGGTGAGTTAAAATTCTCAAAACAAAAATTCCAAAACATCCTTTACTGAAACTCACCATTCAAGTTTTCTGCAGTGATGAAGCAATGAATTTAATTTGCTAATACACAAATTAAAATTTTAAACACTATAGAAACAACTGGTGTTCCATAAAATTTATAAATTTATTCATGTCCAACATGAAAAACCAAATGTTATCTTATGCTAGTAATAACCACCTTTTCATCGCCAGGTCAACAGAAAATATTGCTCCAAATATGACTAAATGGGTCAAAAGCTATAGTAATGTGAAGAATTATTATTTTTTGGTTATTCCTTCTATTAAATAAACAAAACTTAATGGGTTGGAAATGTGACAACCATTAAAGAGCATTGGCAGATTTTTAGATCAAATGCATTTCTTTAGGCTGCAATATAACAAAAAGTGAGAGAAAAAATTTGCATTTGAAGAAATAATAAATTATGCTATATGGTATTGACAATTTTATTCTTTCCTATAAGAGGCATATTATAATTAGTCCACATGGGATGTATAAAAAAACTTTATATTTTCATAAGCGTTCACATATTTTTACATAGATGGTGTTAATTACATTTGAACCTCATAACATTTGTTCTCTACATTTTAAAACTTTTTAAAGCTGCTAAAAGTTTAGCTGCCCTAGGTGAATAAGGTGATGTCTTTTGTGGTAGTACAGCGAGTCTCAATTGAGTTCATGAGCCTGGGGTTCTTGGGGCTTCATTACTTCAGGTAGCTCTGGAGGTGATGACAGAGGAGTAATATCTAATGACTCAAACTCGCCATTCTCCTGCCTGTAAAGATCCATCATAAGTGCTGTGAGTATCTTATCCCATGATTTACCTTTGTATGAATGAAATTAAAATAAAATACCTTTGTAAAAAACATTAAATAAAACAATTTCCCTCAAGTTCTGGACAAAGTAATCAAGTGACAAATATCAAATTTAAGCACACTGCTTTATTTAAATTCAGTTTTTAACAATGTTATCATTAAGTTCATAAAATATAATACTTCATCACTCTTCATCTCTCATTAAGACAGTGTTCCCTTGAACAGTGGCAGCTCGTCGGTAGGCACTATGGAACTGCAGCACCCCCTATTTCACCCGATATATACAGTGGTCCCTCGGTTAACGAGCGCCTCGGTTAACGAGATTTCGGTTAACGATTTGCCTTCCATAAGATTCTTAACTTCGGTTAACGAGCAATCCCTCGATTAACGAGTTTCTTACGAGCCAACCTGAACATGATTTCGCTTGCATTTGGCGGTCCACCAGCTGTAGTATTAGTCCGCCAATACAGTAATCGGTTCTAGGGCTTAAATTCCTTACCATTTTAGCAAATATCAAGAAGTTTATACTATTCAATAATTTTAAAAGTTTAATATTAAATTTTTTACTCATTTTAACAATTATTGAACATAATTGAAGGTAATGAAATTAGTTTTATGCGTGCCATCCAGCCTCTCAACACACCATACAGGCGTCAGTCTTTGTATCTTTTCAGTGGAGGTAACATCTTGCTTGAGACCCTCTTCAACTAAATGCCTTTTTTCTGTTTTTGCAAGCAAATTTTTGGTCATTTTGAAATTTATTTTACATATTGACAATATATAATGCAGTGCAGTGTTCATTTAAAGAAAATAATCTTGAATTGCACCAAGAGAACTAAAATTTCATGGGTGAAATGGCGCCATGGGGTGACTTCTCTTCCACCCCAATGCCTTCTCTTCTCCCTTCTCCACCCCCATTCTAATTCCCATCATCATCATCCAGGAGCCTTCTACATACACACCTCAAAGTAAGTGTACTTTTCTACCTTTTTTGTTGAATTTAGGCAATTTTTGGTGAACTGGAACCAATTACCCAAAAACCCATTGAAACAATGGTTTCGGTTAACGAGTTTTTCGGTTAACGAGCAACCTTCTAGAACGGATTGTGCTCGTTAACCGAGGGACCACTGTATATGTACAGTCAACCCTCACTTTACGCAGTCCCACATTCCGCGTTTCCACGTTTACGCGATACCCTGCCGGAACCCAGGATGCTCACATTCCACGGTGCGTGTACCCCTTTACGCGGAGAGTGTCCGGCTCGACGCTATTTTTAGATTCGCCCCACCCGCCTGCTCCCGCCTCCTCCCTCCGCCTGGATAAGCCGCGCGGTAAGGTTGCGCAGTGCATGTCTCTGTTGCATTATCAGTGACGTCATATGACGTATCGGACTGTGATTGGCCATGCATCCCTACCTCCCTCCGCTGCTAGCTGTAATTGGTTTAAAGTAATATGACGTGTCCACCCGGGGGAGGGAGCGAGGGAGGAAAGACGACGCTTGACCTAGCCGCGGCAGTTTCATCCCTCCAGGCCACACCGTGTAATCGTGCATCCATTGTTCTGTAAAATGGCTTCCGCCGGACCACCGCCCCCAGAGAGAAACCTTTCCTTGCCTGGACCCAGCCGCCCTAAGCCAAAGAAGACATGACGTTCCTTAAGCTATGAGGTGAAGTACAAGATCATCCAAGAGTTGGAGAAAGGAACAAGACAGGTTGATTTGGCGCGCCAGCATGGTGTGAACGAATCTACGATCCGGACGATAAAGAAGGATGCAGCCAAGATAAAGGAGCATATGAAGATCACAAAGTCTACAGGTGCTTCTATGATCAAGTATTTCCACAACCAGGTGCTTCTCAGGACGGAAAAATTACTTGTGAACTACTCGGTGCGTCAGGCGCGACAGAATATGGCGGTCGACACGCGCTCTGTTAAGGAGTACGCACGTGAACTGTATGCTGCAGTGTCACGAAAGATGGGAATTACAGAGCCCAAACCCTTTAATGCTTCCTCTGAGTGGTTACAAAGGTTTAAGATGAGGAACAAGATCACCAATATCAACATTGGTGGTGAAGAAGCTAGTGCTGACCGTGTTGCGGCTAGGGAATTTCCTCCGTTTTTACGCGAGATTATGGAGGAAGGACAGTACACCGACGACCAGGTGTTTAACATGGACGAATCTGGTCTTTTTTGGAAAAAGCTACCTTCCAAGACCTTCGATGTGAAGAATGCCAGCAAGTGTCGGGGCCGGAAGTTGCAGAAGGAGCGCATCACCGTCCTGTTTACCACCAATGCCTCTGGTACCTGTAACCTCAAGTTATCAGTGATCCACACAGCATGCAAGCCGCACGCCTACAAGAGCATGGACATGACCAAGCTAAATGTCCACTGGCTGACCGCACGTAAGGCGTGGATGTTCTCTACACTGTCCCTCTCCTAGTTTGATGACTGTTTCGTTCCCGATGTAAAGAAATTCTGTGAGCTACAGAATGTGCCATTCAAGATTTTGTTGCTGTTGGACAACGCACCAGGACACTCGCCCCTACTGTTAGATCGTCACTCCAACGTAAAAGTGGTCTTCCTTCCTCCCAACATTACGTCTATATTACAGCCCATGGACCAAGAGTTAATCTGTAATGTAAAAGCTGCATTCTCTACTAAAAAATTCAAGCTCCTGAACGACTACACCAACACCAGGGAAGAGTTGCGTAACCTGAGTGACACCACCACCGATAGCAAGAGCGAAGACGACGAGGATCAACAGTTGGCAGAGCAACAAGTACTTTTAAAACAATTCTGGAGAATATTCATTATCAAGAAAGCTGTGGACTTCTTGGTGGAGGCATGGGATCAGCTGTCTGTAACAACTGTTCGTCACGCATGGAGACATGTGTTGCAAGGCATTCCGGCCGTTAGGCAGAGTCAATCTGTGACTGGTGAGGTTCAGACTGTTGCAGTAGCAGTAGACCTTGCCAGAGAAGCTGCGCAGAGTGTTACAGCTGCAGGCTTCTCCGAGACCACCAACAACGACTTCCTGGAGGTGATAAGGGATCCTGATGTGACTACCGACGAGATGGTAGATGATGATGACGTCAGTGAAGAGGCAGGTGGTGCGTCATCCCAAGAAGAACACCGCTTATCCCATAGTAATGTTAGGGGTGCCATCGAGTGTATCGAGAAAGTCAAGTTCCTCCTTTCCGACGACCCTGACGCAAACAGGTATGAAATCTTCACTACCCAGCTGTTGCAGACTATGGAGCCCTACTTCAAGGTTTATCACGAAAACATAAACACCAGCCATCAGCAAAGCATAACAGAGTTCTTCGCCCACAACCCACTACAGCCAGCCCAAGCCAGTGATAGTGACAGAGGTAGAGACAGTGAAGATGACTTTGAGGGATTTGTCAGGGAGGCCCTGATAAGTGTGGATGACAGTGATGGTGACTCACCTGAGGGCCAGTAGCCTGCCCTCTGCCTCGGAACCAGCCTCCATCCCCATATGCCGACCCATCTCTTCTACTAACGTAAGTGTTAAACCTAACTTTTAGTTTTCCTAACCTAACCTTTATTTTTCCTAACTTAACCTTTATTTTTCCTAACCTAACCTCTTCTATATTAATTGTGTGTGTGCATACCATCATAAAATTAAGAAATTATTTTTACTACAACATAGGTATTGTGTCTGAAAAAGTGGAGTTTGGGGGTCGGCCCGGTCTCTTTTTCAATTAATCCCATATGTTATGTTGTTCACTTTACGCGTTTCTCACTTTATGCGGGCTGCCGTGGGTTGAATTAACCGCGTAAAGTGAGGGTTCACTGTGTGTCTATATATATATATATATATATATATATATATATATATATATATATATATATATATATATATATATATATATATATATATATATATATATATATATATATATATATATATATATATATACACACAGTATTACCCCGCTTAACGCGCTTTCACTTAACGCGTTTTCGCATATACGCGGTGCCTTGCCAAAGCTGAACTTTCACTTAACGCGGATTTTTCCACAGCAACGTGGTGAGTGTCCGGCTCCAGAGCTATTTTTAGATTCGCACCACCCCCCACCCGCCACCCTGCCTGACTGCCTGTTTTAGCTCATAAAATTCATACAAATTACCCAGCCAGAATATAGTTTACATTGCTGGAATTCTTATAATTTGGTGATCATTTTGAATATAAACAACATATTTTTTGCATTAAACATACAATTTTTAGATAAAATGTTTAATCTGAGTAAGTATGTTATCTTTTGTCCAAAATATATGACATTTATATTCAAAATATTCCTGGTCTTACAAGGAATCCAGCAATGTCAATTATATTATCCTAACTTTAGTTTGAGGTATTATTTATTAAAATTTAGTGGTTATCCCACACATCTCCTTGGGACGGTTGGTGGGAGGTGGGGGGGAGGGAGGGACCAACCGACCGACCATCTGTTACCCGGTGAAGAATTATTTTTTTTTAACTGAAGATATTTGTTTTAGCTCATAAAATTCATACAAATTACCCGGTCAGAATATAATTTACATTGCTGGAATTCTTATAATTTGGTGATCATTTTGAATATAAACAACATATTTTTTGCATTAAACATACAATTTTTAGATAAAATGTTTAATCTGAGTAAGTATGTTATCTTTTGTCCAAAATATATGACCTTTATATTCAAAATATTCCTGGTCTTACAAGGAATCCAGCAATGTCAATTATATTATCCTAACTTTAATCTGAGGTATTATTTATTACTAAATGTTAAAAACTCTTGAATGGAGGATTGGTGGGGGGTGGGGGGAGGGTTGGGACTGACCGCGCGGTTGGAAGAGGGGGGGAGGCAAGGTGGGGTACTTTGATTGACAGATAGTGTTGAAGAATATATTTTTTTTTTATTAACTGTAGATATTTGTTTTAGCTCATAAAATTCAT